TCCGCTTTTGTGGTTTTCTATCCATAAGCAACGATCCTGGATTCATTAACGGCCTATAGAGATAAAGCCGGATTGGAACGTTGGCTCTGATAACTGTTAGGAGGAATGACACTCCATTAGGCTCCTTTGTCAACGAGAAAGCTAGTGTCAGTACCTTTGTCTGCTGCATGGAATGGGCCAATGTCAGATTTGTCGGCGCCGGCGACACAAGTCATCACAGATTGCTAGCCTGTCCGTTCTTCGTGAAAAGTTGGTCTGAATGCCCGAGACAACATGGCAACAGAGCGACGGGTGCTACTACCAAGTTTCCTATGATACCATCAGATATCGGTGGTATCATGTGGTTGACCAAGCGTGCGGTATCTGTGGCGACACGACGGATTTCTGCTGCTGTTACACCTGTGGCTTGTTGCCAGTGACGACATCTGTCCAATTAGGAGGTTGACTTTTTCTTGTAATGCTTATACTCTGATTTCGAGGTCTTCTTCCTGTGTGACGAGAGTGGCAGTGCATAGAGAAGTTCTGTGGCCTATTAAATCCGCGGCAGCAGCGAGTTGATCGATGCAAACGAAGATTGTTCAACCACTTTTCCTTTCTTAGTTTTCGGCCTCCTCTAACCCCCTTTTACTTTTCATCTTTCTGTTTTGACAGGGATCACTTCTTAAATAACTTGTCACACTCTTGTTGCTACGTTCTGCCTGATCACAATTCAGTTTCCATTTACACCTTCGTGTAACGAAACCTCTTGTCCAAACGTATCTTGGTTAACATTCATTACTCATCAGTTGTTGGTTTTCTTGATTCTGATGGCAGCTCATTTATTAACACTATTTGCGTTGTCATGCTTGACAAACGGTTTTGAGCCATCAATCCTTACACTAGAAAAATGCATAAATTTGCGATCGCCAATATTATCGTCACCAAATATGAGCACCTATTGAATGGTTGCTGGCAGTCGTCGCAACCATATGTGTTAAAAAGCCCCTTATCTATTTCTCAACATATACATAGATCACAGCAAGATGTAAAAGCAAGTAGATCACTCACCAAAAAAACAGTGAGTCTGATTTGAATGACAGTTCATGAAATGTGCCCGAAATATGTAATATACCGGTTAACCAACAATGAGATCACGGACATTTTAAGATACAGATCCGGAAAATGTTAAAGGCCGCATCCTAACCAACACACTTCAACCCAGTTCATGACAACTACGGGTAAACCAAAAGGCAAACGCCACAGGATTCGAAAAGATGTGACTGACTGAGTTGTCCGCTTTCCAACGTATGCTAAAAATTTGGTTTGTGTTAATGTTGTGTTGGCACACGTGGTATTTGCTACTAAGGTTGAATAAAGCTACATGCAGCATACGACAGACTAAGCGAGATGATGTCTACTCTGTGATCCACGTCTTTCAGGCTCTTCTGTAAAGATATCGAGTCGTTCACTCTCTAATAAGAAGTGAGACGAAGCTACGGAAATTAGTCAGTAGCATCCATTTCGTGGATAGTTTGGGCATCAGCTAGTGAATGTGCCTGACTCGCGTAGCAAGTAGTGTCGCGCCCCTATGTGCATTCAGCGGGTCAGGGCTCATTCTATGAGACCGTAGTCGTTTTTGTGATACACGAAGTAATAAAAGCAGACGCTTGCAGTTTGGGTTAGGTGTTACCCCTTCGCATGCAATTTGACGAACAGCTACAAGACCTTTTGCAAATATTATTGTGGGTAAGGGGAAAACTTATGATTGACGAGCGAATAAAATCTAGGAGGCGAGCGAAGTTAACTGCGGAGTCATCATGGGTCTCAAAGTTATAGGTATTGACTCGTGACCAGTCTCACACTAAAATTAACCTCAGAGCTCGAGATGTGGAAGGGCGTAAGACAAATCTGCGCCAACAGCCCTGTGGAACGCAACCCGGAGAAAAGAACGGATACGCTAATATGAACGATGCCTGAAGTCCACATATGACTGCCGCCATTTTGACTATTAACTGTTTCAATGTCTACTTCCATCTGCTACTAGAATTACTCCAGTGGAATTAGTGTATGCTACCTTTAAACGTCACATGACGAACTGGGAATGCATTGATTTAGACACACCTTGGTTATATAATCGTGGATGTCTACTGATACTCCAGATTGTATAAGCAGGCCCTTAGCAAAGCTAAAAATTGGAGAACTTTCCGGTGAATTGATGTTTATGTTACTAAGTAAGAAACTATGCAAGTGGAGTAACAACGTCGTCTGGTTATAACGCAAACTTTGAACATTGCGCGCTTTTGTCGTTGATAGCGGAACCTATCTGTGTAATGACAGATGGAAACTAAGCCCGTCTCTTGATTTGCAGCAGGTTTTAGTAAGTTCATGCATATCAGTAACTTTCTATGTAAGTTACGTAATCCCAGATACTATCCTGTAAACTTTCAAAACTATCAGATTGACGGTGCCTGTGAGCCGGTATCTGTTATGTTAAATCCATTAAATGGGAATGGGAGTTTTCATTATCTTCGCTTTGACGCACTGTATGCGCTCAAAGTGGTATTTTCTTTGTCCCGTAACCGCGATCTGATGTTTTTGTTGGAGTTAAAAGACCTCCCTTCTGTACTATTCAGAACCAGTAACATCTTGTAGATTTTTCGACACATATCAATGTGGTGATGCTTGCAAACTGGCTTCTCTCATGTTAAATTACCAACGTGAAAATAAATTTATTATTATCATGATATAATTATGATTCTTTCAGAGGCAAAGTAGTCACATAATTAAGCTCCTGTGGCTCCTATGAGTTAGTTCTGGCGGTTCAGCTTTCGTGACCACGAATGTGGGACAGAAGAATCACCCAGAAAAAGCTGCTTTCAGGAAACCATCAACTGACACAAACTGCCCAGTGATAGGAGCACTGAGCAATTCCTTTGATCATGGGCGGACAGAGACATCAATTTACTGAGATCCCACAAAGGACATAAGGGTGGTAACATTAAACAATCATCAACACATTCCATTAGTTCTGAACTTGGTATTCTGTCTTGAAGGCAAATCAGGCTTCATTGGGAACCTTGTCTTCGTCAGCAAAAGCGATCATATGACCATCTCTAAACTTACAACCGTCGCGTTTTGCTGAGCTGAAACCCGGTCTCCATCAAGTGTATGGAGGGCTAACACAGCTGCTGCTGACCTTACGATCTTCTCGGAGGATTAAACCATGAAGCCACGGTCTGAAGTTGAAGCTTCATGACACACCTTCAAACCTTCGCACCGTCAACCGGATCAACTTTAAACTTCGCGGACTATCATAGATGAAAGCAACACCATCGTCCACCAATGAATCCCTGACTCCTAAGTCTACCACGACAGAGGAAAACAAAGCGGAGGCAATCCAGTCGATTGGAGATAGTTAGGACAAACAAGGTGTATGAGCAGATATTTTGTAGGGCTACCAACCAAGAACTTCCAGCAGACGCCAACTCAGCAGCAGAAGCATCAGCGCGTCAGAGAATAAAGTATATGGAAACCGCATTAAAATTATCCAGTCCATGGCAGTTGCGAATGTCTCGGAAGAAGTTAAGCCCCGAGTTGGTTTCCACCATCGTATGAGTGACTTTTGATAAAATCTTGGAATGCTTAGAAAGTCAAATCGGTACATAGACATTGACTACAATGGCAGTGCATCCAAAGTGGAAAATTAACGCAGCTGGGTGAACTGCACTCAAGGCTGCCCAGAAACCCTCTGACCTGCATAGCCTGCCCGTTGTATATTGTTTCTCAGTCAAGGCAAACAGCTATATTACTAGGAGGACGTCAAGGTCACACCTATCCACAAGGCAGGTCCCAGACAGTTGCTATCAAATAGCAGATTGATTAGCCCGACTACCACCACAGTCGAGATTCTAGAAAAGGAAACCAAGGAAGTCATCACCATCTACCCAGATATTAACACTATCTTCAAACTGACGACATGCTTTCCCCATATGTTTCTCACGCCTGACGAAAGGCACAGTGAAAGGAAGTCGGGTTGTCTGACTAAGTAAGAGGCCTGTATGCGTCATTTCCGCAGGCTTCATCAAGTGCTGGGTGAAGCGTCTCACTTCAGTTCGCTTATGTGATTAAAAAGTTTCGGAATTACTGACAATCTGCCCAAATGGATAAGACAGTCCTTGCTGGGTGGCGACAAACAGTGAGGATAGGTTCTCAACTCCCCTCTTGAACGTCGGTACAGGGTAGAGTGCTACGAGTGGAGATCGTGATTTCCCTTCCGTTTCTCCTGTTCGTAAATGAACCGCCGGGCATCATGTAGTCTCCTGTAGTTCTAGACCATTATGATGCAGAAATTTTGCGAGAAATAAAAGGTGGGAATGGTAAACACACACTTCAAAGGAATGTAGACATACTGTTAACCTAGTCAGGGAAACACAGGATGTCTACTAACGCGGGTTAGTGTGGAAGTATGCAGATGAGACATACAGACGGCCACATCTACTATATTAGTGGGATTCCTCTCCCTCTAATATTGACCCACAACGAATTGAAAACGACAGCTCAATGTCGATTGTTCGGAGCTCAGAGTATAAGGATTTCTCTTCAGCCTTAATCAGAAACGCAACCTTGAGGGTCGATCTTTACGGTTGAGCATGAGATGGCACGTACAAAGGTCCGTGTTAACTCGTTTGCAGTTAGAGTTTGTGGACTGTGGAACTCCATTCCTTCAGATGTTGTTACAGCGCCATCCGTGATACTTTCGAAAGTAGGTTAGATGCACATCTATAGCCCTGTGGTGCCAACTGACTTTACTCTACAATCTCCCTGTCATGCATAGATCAGGAGGAGTAATACTGCCTTGAGACTCGACTGATTATTAATCGATTATCTCAGTCGTTTCGGGCTTTTCGGGACCAGAAAGACAATTGTGACCATTCTAAACCTATAACGCTCTGCAATAAGATAGAGGTGGAACTCAAGGAACCATCTTTCATCAGTTCTATGACACAAAGTTCGAAGTTTGGCGTACAACTGGTGTTGGATGTCGGACACGCAGTCAAGGTCACGCACGTATTTCGGCATGGATGTAACGGCGTGCGAACTGGAGCAAATTATAGTATGTTTGGTGATAATATTCACAAATATAAATTGTCTTTAAAAGACGTAAATGTTGGTGTCTAATCGGTTTGCTTCACTAGACGGTGAGAAATGGTCTAAATTTAAGGTTTGGCTTTACCTAACCTATTTTAGTTAATTTGAGTACTCAACATTATCCATGATCACCTCATGATCACCCCAACTCTAAACTATTATTATCGTGAACTTATAGGGTCAGCACAGGGCTATCATACAGTTGTGCAACATCTAACCGGAAGTTACCATGGCTCGGTCCGAAGTTAATACTACTGTGAATCTGTTGACCCAACGTCCACCCTTTGTCTAAGTTAAGGTTAATTAACAACTTTTCGTTATAGTCTGCTTTTTTCCAACAGCAGAGTCTCACAACATAAAACGCTTAGTTCCTCATATGAGAGTAGAGGAATATAACAATGTAATAGAAGCCTAGAGTAATCCCGTCGTTGATTTTTCAAATATCGGTAGTAATGATGTTCATACATGTATCACCTGACTACCAACAGATGCCCTTCAACTGCTGTCATTACTTAACCGACTAAGCACATGTGATCACAGCCAACTTATCCTCCTGCTAAGCACCTGTTACCACCTGCTGAATCATCCTTTGTCTGACATTAGCTGGTCGCATAAGTTACGTAATATTCCAATTGCTTATCTTTGGCTGAATTGCGTTATTTAATGGTATAAAGAAGTAACTGGTAGTTCATATGTGAACTTATCAAAAGGCTATTATGATCCTATATGTAGTATATCGGTGGTTGTAAGAAGTTCGGATCACTTCAAGGATGTTTTGGATTATTCCCAGGTTTTATGGAAAATAACCACAATGTCAAATGGATGTAAGCAGCATACTATGAGGTTGTAACGACCAGCTGTTGATAAGTTTTCGTCTAGCCTTTAGGTGGGTAGGTACGTTGTTGCAGGGGAGTGCGTAGAGCAGTGTGAGTTTGGTGGTGACCACAAAAATCTGGAAGGGAAAGGAAGGGAAAAAAAGCGAACTGACTGCTCAGGAAGTACACGGGATGTACTTGCGTTTAATAATAAAAGATAACTGACAAATGGTAGAGCTTGACACCAAAGAGGTTAGGCAGTCTAGAAATCGAAACTGGCAGGAGAATGAGTAAGGTTTCGAATGCGTTACAAAGTATTTAGTTGAAACAAATGACAGTTAATATTCTGTGACAGGAAAATAAAGAATTTGGACCACTTGGTATTCCTATTACAGTACATTCCCGAGTTACATAGATGAATATGTGATGGTATGTTGGTCAATTGATTACTGATCATTTAGAATGATTTCATGGCATTTATATATAATTATAATTCGTGCTTTTAAATCACGAGTGTAATTTTGTGTGAAATTTATCCGTACGTTTATCTGTGGAAATACCGAGTAGGTGCAGTGAAATGAGGGTATATATACTTTTAGGAATAATGGTATCTGTACAAAGTTGATATTGACAAGAGTCTATGAGTTCGTAATTAGTAACATCAATACACATTAATATCACCGGTCACTGTCCCTCTTGAGTTTTTGCCGCATTTTAGGATCGTTTGTGTTAGTTGATGAACATCGTCCAAGAATCCTAGCAGCATACAATTGGTTTAAAAGATCGGATGGCTGATCGTTAGCCTTTCTTTGGCCCTACATACAAAATATTAGCCCTAGATTGACTCCATACTCACTTTAGCCGGAAGAAATTGGAGCATGGATCATTTTATCGTGTTGCCTTACTTTTTCTAAACTTTCATTTCACGCTACCATCAAAAACCTATCTCTGTTTAATATATTCTCGTTATTTGTGACAAAATATGTCAGATGCGTCCACCTATCACATATCGAAAGATTTTTCAAATTTGATGTCGACTGGTCGAAAAATGGACGTCCAGTGTTGTCTAGTATTTCTGTTATTGTTTTCTAGACCAGCGGATAGCCAGTTTGGTAATGAAAGTATAACTCTATCAAGGTTTCTTCTAGCACTTGGATTCCTCCATTTTTATTACATTTATTTTCATCTTTCATTTGTTATTCACTTACTGATAACGCGAAAAGTGATTCCAGAGTACAACATGGTGTGTGGTTGTAATGCACTCTTAACTTTCTTAACCGAAACTCATTGTGACATTCCATTTTCCACCTAGGAAAGCCAGTGACCATTTTTGAGTTAGCCTCATTTAGACCAAGTTCTAAATGTATCTCTAAACACCACATCTAAGATAGGCTAAATGACCTTTCTCTCTTGCTTCACATCGCTTCTAACACGATTAAGTAGTTTATTTAAATAAATTAATAAAATAATAAAAAGAATTCCAACAAAATAACAAACAGGCTTATCCATTCTTTGGTATCTTGTTGACAACCTGCTAACTATCCACCACTGGTTTCAAACTGAAGTTACCGGCAATATCGAGGCATCCGCACGGAAACCCAAATGCCAATGTTGACCGATCAGTTCGGTCCGTTCAACGACAGGAAACTAAAAGCTATAACAAACCATACCCACCGTTAAACGAAAGGTCATCATGACTCAGTAGCCTAGTGAATAACTTTCTGGCGTTTAAAGCAGTGGGTGCTCGGTTAGAGTCTCATTAGGGACATCATTCGCTAGGAGGCCGTTAAACCCAGCTGACCTGTCCCAACTTAATCAAGTGCACCTTTGATTCCACTGCTAACCATTATTCATCATTAGTTTCAAATGACATTTCTTCCACTAGTATATAGGATGAACTGTCTCGAAATTCGGTAATTTCTAAATGCTAACTAGTTCGGACGAAGGGAAAAAAGTCGGTTGGTAACTGTTTGGTTGCCCGTCAATGTCATAGGCTGAATGAAACATCTTTATTGAGTTTCTGACTTTCTCAGGTTGAGAGGACTAATTAACCTGAGAGCAACAGCACGAGACTAATGGGCATGCACCAGAGGTACTTAGATATCATGACCAAAATTGTTTAGACTAACTATTGACAAGCGTATGCGAATCAGGTATGATTCCCTCTCACTGGTTTCACTCATTAATTGTTCCTATTGTGATAAACAAAGCAATCAGCTTGACTGTTTCCTATATTCTGAGTTTTATAACTTCGATACGTTTCGGAGCTCGAAAATAGAAACTCCGAAGAAACTAGACACGTTTCAGTCTTGGTCATGAATGTATGGATCGTATTTTTAACTTTGTCAGGTCTTGAAATACAAATAAAGTTGCATGACGCTGACTGTATTTCCTAACACGAACGCCGCACCGAACTCTATCGATTGACAGGTCTTATCGTATTGTCCGTCAGTGAAAAGGATTCCTGGAAGATGCATTACCGTACTTTGTGTCCGAACATACAAAGTTCTGCCAGCCTACTATAAGTTATCAAATGAGATGTGTACGTCAGGTTGTGTTCATCAAGGATATCCACTCAGTTTTTACTTCACTTGGTCATGAGCATGCTCACAGAGGTCTTCCTAATGCTACTTCACTTGGGTTGATGTCTCATGAAATTGTTTGATTGAAAATCAAAATGCACTCAGTGATGATGTGCACTTTCATGCAGTAGGCCACACCCGTCAAGAGTTAATAATATTCTCAGCTGCCCAAAACGCGGTAGGTAAATCAAGGTTCGAACCCCTGACCGACTAGTCAGAAGTCGAGTGCCTAAGCCAGCTAGCCACATCACTGATTCCTTAGTAGACTTGGACTGTATGGACAATATAATTCTGTTGGAGGGAAACGCGAATAAAGTGCATAGTCTTCCGAGCTTGAGTGACAGTTTGAAAATGTTGAGCTAAGTTCCTTTCCTCCCAAATGTAAATCGTCACTTAATGGCTGGTTCGCCTTTATACATCATCTAGCGATAAGAAGTAAAGTTGTGAAGTGCATTAATCATCTCACTTAACTGAAAAGTCGAATTAACCCTGATGTCTGTCTAACAAAACGTCCACACTGATACAGACAGATTAATTGATTTTTTCCGACCTACGCCACCTATGACTCCAGCAAGATAAGACTCCATATGTTTCATCAAGGTTGTTTTAAAAGCACTGGCCGTATTTTAGTGCACCACTTTAGTAATGTTGAGATTAAGCGTGGAGTCTTATGTAGTAGAGGTGAGTGTTACCCGACCAGTGACTGCTATCTTGACGTGGTGGTTGGGTTGGTAAATCACAATGACCCGAGGGGCTATGCTGGCTGCAAAGATTGTCCCCTCGAGGTTGTCATGTCAGAAAGGTTTATGGCAAAACGGAAAGTAGTGTAGTGTAAACTGCTACACCGCAATGGGAGTCAGAGGGTGAAGTACTGCTGGCTGGAGTGCGACAGCAGTAAGGTGTTTCCCTTGGACAAACAACAGTACTACGCTGATGCTGACTTTGTGGTGGAAAAGGGAAGTTAGAAAAGGTCGGCTTCCAAAATAGCACATTTCCCCCTACACTGTAGTCTTCCGGGGCTGGTGGTATGGGTTCTCTCTATCCGGCTTTAGAACAATTAAATACCGTATCAACAGTCTTCAAAAGACTGTATGTGGTAAGCCTCAAGCAGATGTCCCATGGACCCTGTGGCCACAAATGTTCTCTTTCAAGTATCCTGTAGAAACATCTTCGTTGATGTGGGCAGCCGGGAAGTGTCAACCACCTGCGCGCTTCCAATAATATACAATATCTACTCAAACATAACCTATCGTTTTTGCCTCTGTCACCTTCCTTGCTTTCACTTATTGCTATCAATACTAAACTTCTTACAACCTCCTCAACCTCTCACTCTGCGATCATTACCAACAGTCAAAACCATCAAAACCTCGTTCTTAATCTTGTCGATTTCATATTGGAGCTTTGAATGTCCGAACCCTATGCCAAATCGGACAGCAGATATCGATTACTAGAACTCTGGAATCTCGAGCCATATATGTATGCTGTCAGACACGTATACGGGATTCAAGTGTGATTATTATTAATTGGCTTCGCCTGGTCATAGTAGTGAATCTTTTAAAGTTACCTTA